TACAAGACAATTGTTTATAATAAAATTCTATTCAATCGATAGACTCATAACGATTGAAAACAATGTTTTTGTTTGAGTTTGACTAATTCGTAACCCCCCCCCAAAAAAAAAACAAACAAAAAAAAACTAATTAAGACATGCGTGTCCGTCAACCCTAAACAATGATCTTTGTCAATTTTATTTTTCAGTCTTTATGATGGTCGATACTTGATCTATCTCTTACTGTTACATCCCCGGGCAACGCTGGACTCTACTGCTAGTTATTAATAATTTATCATCATAGAGTATTATTATTATTATTATTATTATTATTATTATTATTTTTATTATTATTAATTTAACCTATAATCATTTCAATTTTCTTAAAATAAATTAAATTAAGTATGGTGGGTAATGAATGACAAAATAGAAAAAAATACGCGTTTTGTCCTTCGAAAAGACTTCATCAGACACACAATATTGGTCTTATTTTTATATATAGATATAAGTAGGGTAATGAAGTAGAAAAAGCGTCGATTATGATTTTACATCGTGAAATGCTGATGGTTCAGATACGCGAGAAATATTTTAAATGACCTCTTAAAATTGAGATTGGTTCTGTGAGATGAATAATTTTTCAAGTAAAATATATATATATATATATAAAACGTTTTATTAAATTCCTGACATAGTCTGTTTAATTTTTAATTGCATTTTTCTGAAGTAAGGTCTATGAAACTCCAGAAAATTAAGTATGAATATGATTTTACTTGCCGAAATGTGAAAGTAAAACACATAATCCTGGCCTACCTCTATAGTCTATAATTTCATCAATTCATATTCCTGTATATCACTTTTAAAAAACTTTCAACCCACTGAATCTACCATACTTACCAAATAAACATAATGTTTATTTAATTATCGAATGTCTTGAAATACTACATTTAAATAAATCTATTAATGGTACCCTTTGCCTTGTTAAATGTGCGAAGCCTTTTTACCAAATTTATTGTTAAATAAAAACCTATAATATCTATCTATCTATCTATCTATCTATCTATAATACCAAATTTTAATTGGTCGGGATTATTCTGAAGAGGACAAACATTATTCCAAGTAAAGTGAACTTTACTTGATACATTGCTGTTTTTAAATTTGACAATTAAGTTGTTCTGTCTTCTTAATGTAAACACCCTAAGAAAACTTTTATAGATTAATTTATTTATGTTATTGTTTCATCTTGTATTTTTAAATTATTTTAAATTTTTTTTTCTATTTCTTATTTTTTATCTTTGTATATCTGTCTGTCTGGATATTTTGATTCCATTTCATAAAATGTAGTCGGTCTTATGTGATGAATATACTTATAATAATCGAAATAAATTTATTACCGACAATGGATTTTACGGTTTTTCCTAATTATATATATATATATATATATATATATATATATATATATATATATATATATATATATATATTAGTGAGTGTTGGTTGTAATAAAACTGTGCTCGGTGTAAAATAACAGAGTTATAGTTTATACCGTTAATAAATATACTTTTTCTTCCTCACCGTTTAGTACAACTCATGTTGCACTTGCTAAAGCTAATTATGGCGATAGTCAGGAACAGCTGGAAACGATTACCACGCGCATTATACTCACAATTGTACTAAAGTGCGAGGAATAAATTGTACGTTTATTTATTTTTTATGGGCATTTCACCCCAAGCAAGGCGGGAATGCTTTTAGTACGTAAGGAGTTACAGAGAATTAAGGTAAGAGAAAAGACTGGGTATAGAAGGCGGGTGAGAAAAGGATAAAAAGAAGAACGCGGATCAAGGCATCAGAAGATGTCGACTGACATTACATTTAAATTCTTGAAGATTATAGTTATCAGGGAAGCAAGTTAGAAGGAAGGGAGTTCCACTGTCGAGAAGTGCGAGAGAAGAAGCTGTTGGAGTAGAAGAGGCGGTTACATTTATCTGTTTCGACAGTGCCGTCTGTGAGAAAGTGACTGGAGTCGACATGCCAGGTCAAGCCCTGTAACATTGCATATCCGTCTTTGGGTGTTTTCGAGAACCTCAAGATCAACAGAGAACCAACTTTCCTTGCGGTAGATGCAGTTATGGATTCAATGTAGTTGTTCCACCTCAGGTCAGTGGAAAATGTGAGACGAGGAAGACACAGTGAGATGCTCTTTATAGGAGGCAGGGAAGTTTCTCTACGGTGAATAAATGAGGGCAGTTTCTTTTTGGAGTCATTAAAATTTACAAGCCATTTCCTGCCCCAGTCAAACCCTGATTAGAGGTCCCTTTTCGAGACTAAAGGTCAGGTTAATTATTAGTATCTATCTATGTATCTATCTATCTATCTTAATTCTTTAACTACCTCAGTATGTTATCTATCTATCTATCTTAGTCTGTTCTTTATGTATCTATCTATATTAGTCTGTTCTTTATCTATCTATCTATCTATCTATCTATCTATCTATCTATCTATCTTAATTCTTTAACTAACTCAGTATGTTCTCTATCTATCTATCTATCTATCTATCTTAGTCTGTTCTTTATGTATCTATCTATATTAGTCTGCTATCTATCTATCTATCTATCTATCTATCTGTGACGGTTACACACCTGACCCAGGGTCGAATCCCTTGGTTACGGCGCCAACTGTGACGTCGTTCCTCCTGGTCGCTCCTCCTGGTTCCAAGCGTGCCGCTCCAACCCCTTGGTTAGATGATCACCAGCCTCGCCTTTCCCAACTCGCTTCCAATACCTGGTTCCTGAAGCAACTGTACTGATCTCCGGTCTGTCTACCCACGCTGTGTTTAGATCTTAGACAGACGGGACCAGCAGGGATTGGGGCCGATACAAGTTGAGTCCGACGGGGGTGGCAAAACACAAGTAAAAGAAAAAAAAAACTCACGAGACAAAAAGATTGCTGATAAAAAAAAAAAGGGTAACAACCTTTTATATCTAATGTCCGTTACATAAAAACAAAATTGTTCTCATTTCCCGACCCGCTCTGTGGACTATGGCACCAAGCTTCTATCACACAACCTAAAAATTTCGAATTGCCTACTCTTTAGAATTGTGTATGTCGGAGTGTGGTTTAGTTCGGCACTGGGGCTAATTTCTATCGATCATTCGCAGTTGATTCTTCTCTTCGACTTGAGTTGTATTTCTTCTTCTTCGTCGACTTAGATAGAACTTCTCTTGTCTTCTCTGGATCTTCTCTGCGGCTTTCGAGTAATCTTCTTCTTTGTCCACTTGGGCTGGAAGTTCTCTTGTCTTCGACTTGGGTGGAAGTTTTTTTATGTTTCGACTTGGGTGGAAGGATTTCTTGCCGCAACTCAGCCGCTACTCTCTGTCGTCCGAGGTGATCTCTTCTCGCTGCCGTCCGGGGCTGAACTGTGCCGTAACTCTGCCGTAACTCTGCCACAACTCTTGCTGCCTGTCTGGCCTGCAATTCTTCTTCTTGTCTGCTTGCAATTCTTCGGCCTGTCTGGCCTGCAGCTCTTCTTCTTATCTTCGACTTGGCTGTAACTTCTCTGCGGCTTTCGAGCAATCTTCGACTTGGCTGCAACTTCTCTGAGGCTTGCGAGCAATCTTCTTCTTCTTCGATTTGGGCTGGAAGGATTTCTTGTCTGAGGATTCTCTTGCCCGCAAAGGGGCGAGTGAATCGGACCTGATGCCCGCGTTCAGGCTCTATCCCTGCCCGCGGTCCAGCTGCAACTTCTCTGAGGCTTGCGAGCAATCTTCTTCTTCTTCGATTTGGGCTGGAAGGATTTCTTGTCTGAGGATTCTCTTGCCCGCAAAGGGGCGAGTGAATCGGGCCTGATGCCCGCGTTCAGGCTCTATCCCTGCCCGCGGTCCAGCTGCAACTCATTTCTGTCGACTGGGGTCCTGCTTTTATTGACGCCGCAACAAACCGGGGTGGGTTTGTCGGCGTCAGGGGTTTCTCGATAATTCCAATAGCCGCATTATTTCTGTCTTCTCATTATCGCTATTGTTTTCACCCCTACTTCCTCACAGTGCCTTTGGTGGGGAGGCGCACACCCATCTTTCCCGGTTCCTCGTATGTCAGGGTGACCGCTCTCGACCAATGATTCCTGATCGAGCATTTCTCCTCCTCTCTCCCGTATGCCACGTGACCGTTTCCGACCAATTGTTATTGATCGAGCATCCTTTCTCCTCTTTTCGGGCGTGGTTTACATCGTTCTTGTTTTAAAAAACAAAATCCAATTTTGCCCTTTTCGCACGTACGAAAAAAATGACAATCTTGGCTTTTTCTCACCTGGGCTCTGTCAAAACAGCCTGCCGCTAATTAGATGTGACTTCAGGAAAGAATATTGGCGCCATCTGTGAGCTGAGACAATCGTTTTTTCACCTCTTGTTTTTGTCAGACCCGACAGTCAGAAAATCTTAATTATCTACATTGAAAATGTCCCCACTTTATTATCGTGGGTTTCCAATTCTTAATAGGTCAGAATCTGTATACAGCTCCACCGGTCACTCCCCTCAACCCAAAAGACACTTTTTCTCCGATTAAAAAAATTTCGTTTCTATTGTTCTAAAAAGAAATTCCCCTTTCTCCAATTTGACAATGAGTCTTTCCACGCAAAAGTAGGCTAGGTGCTTTGACCGATATTCTTATCAATCGCCAATACACTGTCATCAAGCCTGGTTCTTTTTCTCCCTCTAAATGATTTTTCATTTCAAATAACAATTCTCTATTGTCTTTTAAAATTCGGCCAACACGCAGGCCAAGATATCTTTCTGACACCTATCTTCGCTTATGACCGGGTCATGCATCATCCATCTCTCTTTCCTTTTTTTTTTCCTTTCTTCCTCTTTTCTTTCCCCTTCCTTCTTCTTTCCTTAGGATCGTCTAAGTACAACTTTAGTGAATTATTTTCAACTCAATTATTTTCCGTTTAAAAAAAAAAAAATCAACAACCTGTTTAATAAACCGAGTAAAAAAAAAATTAAATCATATTTCTATGAATATTTCTAATAATGCAAGGTGCCACATATCTATCTATCTATCTATCTATCTATCTATCTATCTATCTATCTATCTTAGTCTGTTCTTTATCTGTTCTTTATCTATCTATCTATCTATCTATCTATCTATCTATCTATCAGTCTGTTCTTTATGTATCTATCTATATTAGTCTCTTCTTTATCTATCTATCTATCTATCTATCTATGCTCCTCTCCCGTGAGTTCACGATCGGTGTCATACTCATACGTAATCTCGAAAACTACCAGATAAACGCCTTAAGGCAATTAAAACTCTGAAGAAGAGTAAATCCCGTTCATCGGGAAGGTTTAATTGCTTTAAGGCATTTATCTGGGCTGTCTTCGTGATTACTTACGCATATAACACGGGCGCGTACTCTTGGGCACAGAAAAGTAAAACGGTGATGGTTAACATTGGGGTGAGATCAGGACGATAAAACTACCGACCACGTACTTGGTGTCATACTTTTATTATGATGGCTTCCCCGGATATACTAAGGGAGAACCGGAAGTGTTCAAAACGGTGACCGATCCTAAAGGGGACAAAACAGAAGGGGGGTGTAAAACAAAACAGTTTCTGTAACAGAACAATATATGTATGTATATGTGTACGTATGTGTGTAAGCATTCTTCGTAACTAACTGTTTATATTAGACCAACAATTCTTTGTAAACTTACATCCTGTATAACATTCATATCTTTTAATAATATTTCCATAAAAATTTACATTCAAATTGACGGGATAGGTATGGACTACTTTATTAGTTTTATTTTATCTTATGTATACATAGTTTACTTAGTAAAAATCTTTCATAATTTTGCTAAACCAATGTTCGATATATAGATGACATATTTATACTATCGAAAAGCCTAGACGAATTAAAAAATCCTTCAAGAAATCTTTGGAAAAAATTATTAATAATAATCACTTTCCTTGATGTTTTCAATCAGTTATGCGCCATACATGATACACACTTAGACGATCATGTTTCTTTCGATACATGACTGACGAGGCAGATTTTTTCCCGCCGTTGGTTGCTATTTCTTTCTGCGATAGACCAGTTGCCATCCAAGACTATTTACCCATAGCTGTGGGGAGAAGAAAAGGATTCATAACTTTCCGAAGGGTATTAGCACATAATTTAATGTAATGGATTCGACAAGAATTCGAACTCGGCTCTCCGATTCTTCAATTACTCCACCGTGCCTCTTTAGTAGCTCTTAATAGTTACAACTTTAAGACTTCACTGCATCAAAAAACAGTCGGTAAAAACAAGAGATTTCTTAATTACAATAGTGAATATCTTAGATATAAGGTAGCTGTTCTAAAAATATGATTAATAATCAAAACTAATTTTTCTTCGCACTCATTATTTTATAAAGAATTGAGCAACATAAAACAAACACATATCAACAATAATATATCACTATATTGTTAACGAGCAAATAAAATTAGCTAAATTAAATAAAATTAAAATTATTACTTTTAGAATAAGTAATGCAAATAATCATCCTGTTATAAACAACAAATATAATGAGTTTATTCTGTAATAACTAAATGCACCTTAATAATAAAATAGACGAAAAAGTAATTAGAAAGTATAATTCGCCAGTAATTACTGATTACACTAAATACTTTAGATGTAGCATTTATTATAAAAAAAGTTTAAGATATGTGATTTAAGCATTATCAATAACACAGAACCGTACGAAAAAATAAAGTTGTTTAGGAATTCTCAGGGAGGATTGCATCTCGGTTCCATTGTGAGATTATTTCAAAAAACAATATTACATTCTTACATTGGTCACACAACCACAACACTCTCTTGTCGGTTGACTTGTCTTTTACCGACACTTAGCGCAATTTGTGCACATATCGAGCACACTAATAAAAATATGACTATTATCAAATATTAGTAGACAACACCACAAATAAGTATTAGTAGATAATACCGAAAATAATACAAATGTTAGTGGATGATACCAACTACAATATAGCAGTGACTTCCACATTGAATTGAATATCTTTCACTACATGGAATAGCATTTTAAAATGTGCATAAAATATTTAAATCCACTATAGAAGATTTCCAAAGTAATCGAACAAAAATATTAACTTTGATCTTTTTATCACCAACTTTAATCTAGAAATGCAACAACTTAGAAAATTTGAAAACTCAAAAATATTTCGCAAATAACACTGGGTATAACATTTTTAAATTTATATTTTTTATAATTTTTCCACGTAGCACAATGACATTACGCTGGTCCAAGACAGAGTGCACAGATACTACACTGATCGTCTGTAGATGTGCTGACTGAGTGATTTGTTTTTTACTGCTTGAGGTGATAAGCACATTTTTACAAGTGACGATATTCAGTCACCCCCCCCACGAGGGTGTCATGTGGCACAAGGCCTTTTTAACGTGGGCAATTCCCAAGCCATTAGGCTTGGCCAAAAAATAGCCCATTTGAACCCGTATAAACGGGTTCAGGGCCGGTTTAACCTCCCCGAAGGAGACTCCGCCCTTCGGCGTAGCCTCCATCGGGTTCCTCTCCGTCCGGAGACAGAGAGTTGAACCGAACACTCGCTCAAGTGACTGTTACATTATCTATTTCTTCAGAGTAATAACGATTTTTCTAGATATAATTCCTACTATTTAACCCATATTTTGTGAAGGAAAGTGATGAATTAATACCTTTCTCAGTGGTATTTGAACTTAAGTGAATGTAATGAACCTAACTGGAACTCGATTCCTACAGTCCGATTTCTCATTGCACAACGCGATAGAAGTGCTGATTTATATGCAAACAATCCTATCATTTTTGACGTGAACTATGTCAATATACTTATTATTTAATCTTTCAAGATTTACTATAATTAAGTATATAGCATACTTCTAAATTAATCCGATAATGCCAATCTTGACAATATAAACCTTAGTTAATTATTAAGTTACAAATTAATGAGGATCTGGCAATTTACACGCTTTGAAAATATATAATAATTAACTGGATTGCAGAAATCCGAGGCAAAGTAACGAACGAGTACTGAATTAGCTTCCTTTTTCTTTCGAGTCTAAAATTATACCCACCTTCTCCTTTTAGACAATCAGCCAATGATAGAGAAGAAATGGGCAGACGATATTTCTTAAGCAACCGTCGTGTTCATTGTTAACCAATTCCTGTAAATAACCACTTTGCAATTCGATAATGGTAACGTGGTCTTTCATTAGACACTCCGTGCTTTCCGTCAAGCCTCTAGGTTTTAAGCTTGTCTTTATCATAGTCGCCAAATGGGTCGATAGCTCTTCGAAACTTTACGTATCTGATCTTCGTACCTTCGCCTTTAAATTATCGAAGCCCCAGGATTATCCCTTTACGAGTTTCCAAATTGACAATTGTCCGGGCAATTCCAATTCCGGAAGTTTCTACCTTTCTGTCAATTTTCAATAAAGTTGACGATACCGTGAAACAAAAAGACTGCGTAGGTGTGTCCGTTTGTTCACAGAGGTGCAGCAGGTAATGGGTAAACGGTCAACTTTTTCGTTCATTTGGTACCGGTACCTTAAGTAAAGACATACACCGAAAAGTTCCCTCCTTAAAAAAAAACATTTATTTAAAAGTGTATACAGAAAAAGGGGAAACAACTACAGAAGACGAAGCAAAGGAATAATTGCCTCGTATTGAAAATATTAGCTACTAGCAGTAAAGCCCGGCGTAACAGTAAGAGATAGATCAAGTATCGACCATCACAAAGACTGAAAAATAAAATTGACAAAGATTATTGTTTAAGGTTGACGGACACGCATGTCTTAATTAGTTTTTTTTTTTTTTTTTTTACGAATTGGTCAAACCCAAACTCAAACAAAAACATTGTTTTCAATCGTTATGAGTGTACCGATTAAATAGCATTTTATTATAAACAATTGTCTTGTAAATGGAATTCTGAATGTAAAAATAAAGAAAAAATGTGCAAGACAATAAGAAACATTACCTGCCAAAAAAAGTGAAGTTTTGTTGAAATCGGTTGAAAAATGTAGGAAATCCGATCCCATATATAAACGAACACACACACACACACACACACACACACACACACACACACACACACACACAACCTGGGTTTTATAATAAGTGTAACTCGATATGAGTTGTCCCCCTTTCATTCTAGAAACAGTGGTGCCTCTTAATCGTGTTTTTAAATTGATTTCATGCAAAAACAATTGTGTTTTTTCCAATTTTTGGCGCTGTCAGAACCACCGCAAGGTAATTTTACGTAGTTCTGTGAAGTTTTGTTGAAATCGGTTGAAAAATGTAGGAAATCCGATCCAATATATAAACGAACAGACACACACAACCTGGGTTTTATAATAAGTATGATTTATTATTACTTTCTATTATTATTCATCAACAAAAGAATTTTGAGGATAGAGAATAATCATCCTTATATGATGAAAACAATTGTTGAAGATAGTGGCTAATCATCCTTATATGTAGAACAAATATGTTGAAGGTAGTTGCTAATAATCTTCACATGGTAAATAAAAATAATTTTGAAGATAGTGGTTATTCATCTATTTTTATTAAAAATCAGTTCTGAAAATATTGGCTATGCATTCTTGTGTTATGAAAAACTAAATTAGACGATTGTGGCTATTAATTGTTGTGTTATATAAAAAATTGAATGTAGTGAGTATTTATTTTTTGTGCTATGAAAAACCAACTTTGAATATAGTAACTATTGACGATTGTGTAAATGGATAACAGTACAGGGCTTTGGAGAGATAGCACAAATATTAAATTTACTAAGAGCTACGAAGGACGGGAAATTGTTGAAACTCATGACTGCCAACATCTTGAAGGGGCATGATACATAGAAGAAGATTACCAGCTATAGATTTTGTAAGAACATTTGGGCTGCAAGTACGCTGAAAATATAGTCTCGAACCTAAAACAACAAAGACTGAAGGAATGATTTTTTGACTAGTTGAAAAAACATTTTTACTGCTTTGTTCAAGTAACAGAAATAATAAATGACACGGTACATCACTCTTGTGAAAGTAACAGTATTTTACAAGAACGTGAATGACCTCTAGGAAGAAGGTCACTTTCCTCAGTGATGCTATTACATTAATGATTAATGTTTCCCTGCTTGAATGCAGTTTGGTTATTTGAATCGCTGTGATTGGGGTGGGG